TCCCCCACTGTTGTTCCCAGCACCACTGTCCTCACCACCACTGTCCCCACTGGCTCCACCACCGTCCCTACTGTCCCCACCAGTGCCCCCACCACTGTCGCACTGTCCCCACTGTTCCCACCACTGTTCCCACCACGGTTCCACTCTCCCCACTGTCTCCACGGACCCAACCACTGCCCGACTATCCCCACTGTCCCCACTGTCCCACTGACTCCTCCGCTGTCCCACTGAGCTGCCCCACTGTTCCCACCACTGTCCCCACTGTCCCCACCACTGTCCCCACTGTACCTCTGTCCCATTGTCCCACCGCCGTCCTCGCCACCGCCTTCACCACTGTCCCCACCACCATTGTACCCTCCACTGTCCCACTGTTTCCACCTCATTCCCACTGTCCCCACACCACTGTCCCCACCACCGCCGTCCCCACCACTGTCCACTGCCCCCCCCGTTCCCACCATTGTCCCCACCACTGTCCCCACCACTACCGTCCCCACCACTGTCCCACTGTCCCACTGTCCCCACCACTGTCCCACTGTCCCCTCACCACTGTCCCCACCAACACCGTCCCCACCACTGTCCGCACCCCCACTAGGTTTTCGAGAGGGGGGGGGGGGGGTTCGAACCGGTAGTGACCCCCCCCGGTTTTCGAGGGGGGGGGGGTTCGAACCGGTAGTGACCCCCCCCCCCTTTTCATGATGAACTGGGGGGGGGGGGAGGGGTTCGAACCGGTAGTGACCCCCCCGGTTTTCCGGAGGGGGGGGGGGGGTCGAACCGGTAGTGACCCCCCCCGGTTTTCCGCCAGCAGCGGTAGAACACGCTCTTTCATATATATATATACACATATATATACACATTATACATATATACATATGACCAAGAGGACCCAACACCACAGGATGGCTGGAAAAGAAGAGGAGGAGGAGAAGGAGGAGAGGTGGAGGGAGGAGGACGACAAGGAGGAGGAGGAGGAGGAGGAGAGGAGGAGGAGGAGGAGGAGCGACGAGGAGCGACGAGGAGTGACGAGGAGGAGGAGGAGGAGGAGGATGAGATAGGAGGATGAGATAGGAGGATGAGATAGGAGGAGGAGGAGGAGGAAGGCGAGCAGAAGGAATATGAGATTGACGGGGCACGTTCCAATTCAATTTCTAGTGATTGCCCGGCGGTCGGACGAGGAGGAGGAGGAAGAGGAGGATAATAATCAAGGGAAAAAGACGGCGGTGGCGATGTCGACGACGATTCAACCATAAAGGCATTTGGGGCTATCTTGAATGCCCTATGGTGCCATCTTGGGGCTCTCTTGGGGCCTTCTGGGCTATCTTAGAAGCAATCGAGCAAAAAAGGATAATTCGCGGATCAGCATGGCCCCTCTTGTGCCCGACGAGATGCTTTTTGAGGCAGTTTTTGGGAGCTCTTGGGCAGTATTGGAGCCCCCTGGGGCCCCTTTCGGGGTCATCTTGGAGCAACTTGAGAGACCTCGGGTGCCTATTCTAGGCGAAGGCTGGAGAATGCACGAACCAGTTGTTTGGGCGTCTCGGCGCTCCGTGGCAGCTCGGAGCTATCTTGTTGTGGTCTTGGTGCCTCTGGGATGCATCTCGGAGGCCATCTTGACCCATCTTCGATTACATCATGCCGTCCTTCAGGTCATCTTGGGTTCATAGATGCTCAAGACTGTTTGGCTCCAGCTCGGCCTCGGCAACCTGAAACACACCCGCACACTCCGTGCACATCCAACCTCTCATGGCCCACGCGGCCCACACCGATTCTAGCATGATGCAGTTTGGGGCAGCGGTGGACAAGATCAACCCCTCGCAGCAGATAACGGCCACGACCGCGCTTCCGACCGACGGCCGCCAGATGGGTGTCGCGTGCGGCGCTGGGTGCTACGACTCGTGCGGCGGCAGTGAATATCATTGGGGCTGCGGCTTGAGATGTGCCAGCTGCGCACCTTACACCAGTCAGGCATGCAATTGCTGCTGCCAGCCAGGGACTACTGCGACCGGGCAATTTGGTCCATCCAAGTTGATGGGAACGCATTATGGTGTCACCGTTGTCCAGCACATGATCGACCCAACTCTGTTTCTGTTTGCGGTCCACGACCACATCCACACACAGATGGTCGGCGTATACATCATGAACGGTGCCGAGACGGGTGCATCGAAGGATTGTAGACCTTGACGGCCGCATCGATCACCAGTGCCTGGGACAGAGAAACCAACCAGGACTATTCATGTGGAGCTGGGTACTGCCTCCAGTCCATATCTATTGGCTCGTCGGCGACAGGAGGAAGTGCGATCCCAGCGACATGTGGTTTTCGCGCTTGTGTGACTCGCAAGAGTGTCGGCACAGTAGTCGTGTGGGGGCATTCATTTGTTGATGATAACGCTTCCAACGTCGATCTTACCAACGTGGCAGATGTAATGTGTGGCGATTCGAGTGTGTGGTTCGCAAGAGTAACGGCACAGCTGTCGAATGGGCACATGCATCCTCTGGTGGCGGCGATAGCAATGTCGATCTTACGAATGTGGCAGATCTAATGTGTGACGATTGCGCACGTGTTGCTCGCAATAGTGACTGCACAGCTGTTGCGTGAGGCTATGCATACTGTAGGGGTGACAGTTCCAACGTCCATCTCACCAGTGTGGCAGATGTACAGTCGGACCAAGAACACTAGGAGGAGGAGGAGGACGAGGAGGAGAAGGAGGAGGAGGTGGAGACGGAGGAGGGGGGGAGCAGGATGAGGAGGAGGAGGAGGAGGACCTCGAGCTGAATTATAAGACCGAGGACGTCTCGGGCAGGGTGCCCTGATTAATGTTCTTCGTGCTGGTTGAATATTGTTGTGCGTCCTGGGGGAGCGCACCCTCGAATGATCTTCAGCGTTGGCTGGCGGAGGGGCGGGGTTGTGCACCCTATGTTGATGGCCTCACCAACGTGGCAGATATAATGTGTAGGATATTATGTGTTGCTTCCACGTATTTCAGGAGGGGAAAAAACACAGACACAATGAATCGTCGATTCCCAAGAAAATATGGGAAAATATGGGAATTGGGCGGGAAGACAAAAACCCAGAACATCTGGGAAAAAAGGGGGAATTTGTTTATTTGTGTGTATTTATTTGTGTGTCCCAGGGCCCCTTCAGTATTATTTTTCCTCCCAAAAAACAGGAGCCAACATGTGACTCTCTGAGGTCATCTTGGCTCATCTTGGACGCTTAGACCGCTGGCCCCCCTCCCACCCCCCCCTGGGGGGGCGATAAAACCCTCCCCGAAGGGGACACAAGGGGTTGGAAGAGGAAGCTCCAAAAACAACCTGCGCCGTGAAGGGCTGGTGGGAGTTCGAATGCAACGGCGGAGGAAGGGGGCTTGAAACGGAGGATCGAAGGTCGCTGGGCCGATGGTTGGAGGACCTCCGCAGTTGCGAAGAATGTTCGTGCCGGCTGCGTGCCTCGTCTCCTGGGCGCGGAGGGCGACCAGGAAGAGCCGTGGGAGCTCGTTGGCCCCGTCGTGGAGGGCCTTGCAGAAGGTTCGACCCCTCTACCTGGACAGTCAACGTGTGGTGGTCCTGCTGCGTTCCATGTTTGCGTTGCGGTGTCCCCTCTCCACAGCGTCCAACACTGACTATTTCGTTGTGTTCTGAATCGTGGACGTTGAGGTTACCCACGAAGCAAACTCAGGAACATCAAAAGACCGATGCTGCGACTCGCGGTTGGGCCGTGGAGGAGGCCATAGGAGGATTACCCATCCGGTACGGAGGGCGACGCGGGCAACTGACCGGAATGCCCGACAGGCAAGGATGGCAATTTGGGCGAAATCGCTCTTGCGAGCCAGGTGGGCCGGGGAAATTGCAAGCATGTTACCCGAGAGACACGCAAACAGAACAGCAATGCATTGTGTAATGCTGAGTGGTGGTCAAGGAAGTCGCGGGGAACCTTGACCTGTCCCGTCTGGTGTCGCCCTGGACGCTTCGCCCGCTGGGAAAATGATATTGTCTATTTGATAACAGACTGGCCCAGTGGGGGTCATTTGGAGATGCATCCTCGATATATCTTCGACGGTGCCGATGCATCCTCGATGTATCGCCGATGCATCGGCGATGCATCGGCGATGCAGCGCGACCCTCCGATCCCATCTGGGAGACCTTGATTCTAACGTGATATCGAACCCTGACGCCCGCCGATGATATTGTCTTCGCCCGACGGGGGCCGTGGTAAGAAATGGCCAAGTTGTTTGAGTTATGGCAAACTCGGATGAAGATGAGTACGTCCGTCACATGTCGCGCTGATGCGTTTTTTGTTTCTGTGTGTGGTTTTGAAGTTTCGCACGTGCTTCCTGGGCGTTATTGTCGCGCTTCGTTAATCGCCTCTGGGCGACAGTAGACTCGTTTGCTCGTCTCCCCAGACATTAAGACGACGATGATGGCGATTGTGACAGTGATGATGATCTTGAGAATGAGGATGAGGATGATGCTGATGATGCTGACGAGGCTGATGATGATGATGCTTATGCTTATGCTGATGATGATGATGGTGGTGATGATGATGATGATGACAAGGGGAGGCGGGAGAGAAGGATGGTGGGGCGTTGGTTAATGAGTGTGGATTTTGAGGAGACATGAATGGGAGGAGGGGGACGCGGATGGTGAGGGAGAGCGAGCAGAGAGTAAGAGGAGGACGCGGCAGATGATGCGAATCATCCCCGACCACCGGGTATGTATACATACGTGTCTTCTGTTGTTATCCCACAGTCGCAAGACTTGCAATATGAGTCATACCGCGACCACCGACCTGCGCAAGAGCGGAGCGGACATGGCCTGAGATAGTCCTGAGCTTTGGCCACGGCCCCCAGCCCTCGAGTATGTGATCGAGTACAGAATTAATTCACTCCACAACTTTTGTTTCTTCGAACCAACAAAATGTACGTAGAATGCTTCCTAGATTCGACGCGGAAATCAACTTTGGGATAAATCGATTCTGCAGTCGATCCCCTACTCGAAGCCCTCCCCAGGAGATGACGCCAGAGGAGGTGAGGGACGAGGTTGAGAAGTTCCGGCGTACGCGACAGGAGCGGCGCAGCGCCATTTCCGTTGTTGGCCGTCGTGGTTGTTGTTGCCAGCGCTGCTGTGACAGCGGCGCTTGAGGGTGGTGTTGGCGCTAGGTGGGGTGCGCACCCAATGCGTAGTCATAGAATGAGAGTTCGGGGTACTGCACCACACAGGCACGCACACCAACGAACACACACACACACATGCACACCAGACGACTTCTGTTTGAAGCCGCCGTGGGCACCAATGCATTATTTTGCTTCGAGCGGTCCCCACCGAAACCTTAAGCGTGGGTACCCGATGGCGCGCGGTCGCCTAATTAGTCGACAACTGCCGTTTCTGAATTCAGAAAACGATTGAACCGTGTTCCATGTAGTCATGGTTTTTAATGTTGTGCTCTGTTATACCCTGTTCTTTTCTCGCCGGGCCGGCGTGACGTCGTGACGCCTGTGACGTTAGATGCGTCATTTGCTATGATGTTCCCCATCAATTACGGTTCTAGTATGATTGAATGTGTTATGGCATGCTCATCTCTGCCACTATACAATTTGACATGGTATGGCATGACCTGCTCTATGATATATGTTATGACATGATATGTTATGTCAGGTTATGGTGTACTCTGATTTGTTCCGTGATGCGGTTGCCAGCTCGGCTCAGTATGGTATATTATGATATGATTTGGTAGTGCGTTTCGCTGTGCGTCGCTGCCGTGTTCTGGTATGTTTTGTGATGCTGTCATGATATGATATGATATGTTCTGCCAAGGTGTAACATGTCAAACGTGGTGCTGTTATGTTATGTGATATGTTGTATGACGGCGTCGTCTGTTCTGTCATGTTCTTCTCTGGCATGGTATGTGATGGTTGTTTGTTGACGGCCTGTCCTGTCTTGTGTCTGTCTTGCTCGTGTTATGCTCTGTCATGTCGTGTCCTGTCGTGTTCTGTTCTGCGGTGTCGTGTTGTGTCCTGTTGTGTTTGGCGTCGCTTTGCCCTGCTGTCGTGCTATGATATGCTATGCGATGCTGTGGCATGATATGATGTGCTCTGTCAAGGTGTGGCACGTTATGCTCGATTATGTTATTGTATATTTGTGAGAAGGAAGTGCTACCACAGCTCACATGCCTTCAGAAACATTAATATAGCTTTCAAGTAACTCAAAAGTAACTTCGGCCTCATGTGGTCGATTTGAGGCACCTGGGCTGGTGAGGCCCCGATGGAAGAAAGCCATTGGGAGCTCCGCAAACCACGCGCCTCAAATCAATCGCACGCGGCCGAAACTATTACTCCTCAGTCCTTTCCTCCTCCTCCTCGTCCTCCTCCTCTTGGCGTAGCAGCGTTCTCGCTCCTCGTTCTCTTTTTCCCCTTTCTTCTCGTCCTTCGCCTTGCAGTGTTATTTGTGCAGTTGTGTGTTATTTGTAGCGTGCCCGCGCAGGGCTCATTACTTTGTCAGTGGTTTGCTGAGGAGGAGGAGGCAGATGATAGGGAAAATGAGGGGAGGGGGGGAGAAGGAGGGGAGAAAGAGGAGAGGCGAAATGAGGACGAGGAGGCGAATAGAGGGGTGGTGGAGGAAGAACGAGAGGGACGAGGAAGAGTGAAGATGGACAGCAGCGAAGGGATAATGAAATGAAGAGGGGGGGCAAACAGGTGGAAGGAGGAAGATGAGGAGGAGCTGCGGGCCTCGCTGCCGCTGGGGCTCCCCATATCGCAGGGGCCTTCCTCCCTCCTCCCTGCTCCCATGGCGGAGCCCTCGCCCTGGGACGCCGTGGCGGCGGCGGCCGCCGCCACCGCCCCCGCCGCCGCCCCCGCCGCCCCCGCCGGCGCCGCTGGCGCCGCTGGGTCGGACGCGGTTGCTCGTCTGGGGGCGGCGCAGGAGGCGCTGGCCACCAGGGGCACGGGGAGGAAGAGGGGCCGTCCTTTCGAGGCGTTGAGGGGGGCGGCCCAGTCTTCGGAGAGTGCTGGACCCTCGGCCCCATCTTCGGAGCTCGCTCTGGTGGTGTCCCAGGGTGAGCCCCAGCTGCAGTTGTCGCGTCCTTCAGATCTGTCGGTGTCGAGCGTGTGCCTGCCCAAGACCGTTCGAGGAGTTTTTGCTGCAGATAGGTTTACGATAGCTGTGCAGTGTTCCCTGGAGTATTCGAGGTTGAACCCTTCCGTGAGGGACCCTGATGTGCTCACGATCTGCGACCACCTGTCAAAGCTAGATCACGGGGTCTTGAATTTCAGGGGGATGCAGGCCACTCTTGGTGTGGACTCGCAGGCTGTCCAGAGTAAGATGCGCCGACTTGCGGAGATGACAATCGATCTGCAGGTGATCGAGCGGGTTGCGCAAGATAACCATGTGGTCGCACTTCTTGGTAGGAAGAACTGTCTTTTCTATATCGAGCAGACGCGATACGACGAGACGCCGATGAAAGTGAGCGTGGTCGACGATATGAGAACCCAGAATACCAGCCGAGAAGTATCGGGAGCTGTTGTGCCACATGAGCGTGTTGTTGATCAGCGGCTTCTGGGGATTGTTGGTTCTTTTGTGAAGGGGGCCCCTGATCAAGCAAAGCTTCTTCAGACGTTCAATGGGTTTGCGATGCTCGTGCAACTTCGTGGCACAAAAGCAATTATCATGGGCCCGTCGGTCTGCCCCCTGCAAGTGCTCCAGAGAAATACGGCAGTCGTCCTCAAGCAAGCCTTGATGCAGACGAGTTCTGTAGGCCCAGGGGCGCAGCAATTCGTTCAGAAGTCTCGGGTTGTCTGCTCGGACCGTGCGTCGGCGAACCTTTTGACTGAGCGCATGATTGCACATGACCGTGGTGACGATTGGTCGACTCTGTTCTGCCCGTGTGAAGTGCACATGTCTTCTGGTTGTTTTGAGAAGGTTATTGGGGCCAGTTTCGTGGATGACGTAAGTGGGTCTATTCATTGTGCTCTTTCTCTGAACCACGGCCCCACCATGACAGTCTTTCGGAAAGCACTCGAAGCGACGATCATGTCGATGCCGTTGGAGGTCTTGTCTGGAAGCCCGCCCGCAGAAGCACAAGAGTATAAAAATCACTGTCTTCGGCTTTTCATGACAATCGGTGCCAACCTGGAGGCCAAAAAGTTGTTGCTCGCAGTGCTTCCGAATGGTGACTGGCGCAGAACTGATGCCATCGAATGTTATGTTGACCCAGAGTTCGTTGAGGCCCGCGGTAAAGATTATATCGCTAAATTGATGTCCAGGGGGCTCACGTTCGCTTTGGCCAGTAGTCAGCCGAGCATCTGGCCCAGGAGCAGGTGGCTCGGAGCGGACGTGGCTATTGAAGAGCTCGGTCGACTCGAATGTGTGCACGGTTTGTTGAGCAAGTCGTACCCTCTGTTCTGTCGGATGATGGGTGGCAAGTCAGACGTTGCAACGGTGGTTGCTGGTGTTCCTCGGCCTCCGCTCTTGCCGCTTGCCGATGACGACGCTCTGCCCCCTCTCCCCCTCGAGGACATCCCCGCCGATGACGCTGCCAGCGGCCTGGGCCGTGCTGCTGGGCAGGGCGGCGCGGGGGAGAGTGGGGCGGGGGGGCACGGGGAGGGCAATCAGTCAGCGGAAGATCACCACAAGAGTCGTCTGAAAGCGGCCAAGTGGCTCAGTAAGAACGGCGTTCTGGGGCAACTCATGTTAATGAGAAGCGCGATGTTCCCTCTAGTAGAATTGATTGCTGACCAGCTGTTGCTGGGGTCGGCCGACTGGGAGGTTAAACAGAGAGCGCAAGTTGCCCAGAAGCACATCGATGGTGAGGATGCCAGCCGATGTCGCACGTATCGGGTGCTCGCAGCAGGGTCTGGTGAGTTCGAGAATTACGTGTTTGATAAAGTTGCTGCAAAATACACCGATGCCGAGCACTGGGCGCATTACCCTAGATCTTGTATGACGTTATCGTTCAATGCGTTGGCCTTCAAGGTTCTGAGCCGCTGTTTGTGTACGGTGGATGAGGTTCTGGCACTACCGCACGAAGGTTTTCCTTATCGATTGTTTCGGTTGCTCCGCTGCCCTGGTGAAGCTCATGAGATGTGTCGAGTTCCCGAATGTTTGCTGGACCCCTGGACCAAGGCCATGAAAGAAGCCCACCCTACGCTCTCGGGGGAAGTATTCATTGAGAAGCTGCGTACGGTCGCTCTCATGCAGTATACCGATATGTCTGGTATTGAAGCTCGGCATGCTGGTGTCAGGAGACATCTCGTGACCAGGTCTGCTCAGACTCACGCACTTGATGTACGCGATGCCAGTTCAGAATATGTATTCCAGCAGATGCGCACGACACGATTGAGTTGCAGGCATTCCTTGGTGCGCAAACGAGTGTACAAGAAGAAGACTCAGACAGTGGGAGGGGCATGGTCAGTTTGAGTCTCTTTGGTCAGTCTTGAGTTGTGGATGGTGGGACGGAGGGTTGTTTTTGAACCAGCCCAGTGGCGAGGAGGAGGAGGAGGGGTGGAGGGGAGGGGGTGGAGGGCAGTGAGTGGTCATGGCGCTGCGAGTGCAGTAATCGCATTGTCTGCTACTCCCTCCAGCCTCCTCTCCCCCTGCCCTCGCTGTCCCCCTCTCCTATTTATGCACTGCCCACCTCCCGCCCCAGTCCTCTCCCTCTCCTGCTCTCCCCCTGCTGTACCCGTCTGTTTCCTGGCCCCCCCTCTCCTTCTCCTCGACCGTGCGGTCCGAGCAGTTTCGCTTGTCTGAGCTATCGGCAGCCTGCAGGCTCCAGGATGCCCCCTGGCGTTCACAGTGGCCGCGCGACGTCCCCCAGCACCCCGCCACCCCCCGCACATACGTAACATTTGATGCTCGCAATGGTCATTTCACTGACAATCCACGTCCGTTGGCCTCGTTCGGGCGCGTTTCCGTGGTCCTGGTGTTTTGAGGCGCTGCCCAGGATGGCCCAGGAGAGTTTGTGGAGCGTTGCATCTTTGAACAGTTCCTCGGCGCATTGCATCTTCGCATCGATGCATGCTGTTGTGTTCTGGCGATGGGCCGTCAGATATAGTGACGCCGTGTTTATTGATAG